CCTCTCCCTCTCCTTCTCTCCCTTCTCCCCCTCCCTCCCTCCCTGGCTCTTCCCAACATCCCAAAGATATTTGGCAAATGGAAGCACTGTCTTAGAGGGAATCAGGCTCACTCTGGCCTTCTGGTTTTAAATTCTTCTTTCAAGTAGGCGATTTGGTGATAAAGCCGGTCATGTTTGTCACATGGGAGGAAAATGGTGACAGTAGTGCTCAGAAGCACCACATCAGTGGGTGACTGCTCTGTGCCCAGAACTGGGCCTTGGAATTCCTTAGCCATTCATGGGTCTGATCCTTGTGTCACCCCGTGAGTTGAGCACCGCCTTTCTGGTGAAGAAACTGAGGGCCACGGAGGGTGACACATGCAAGTCACACAGCTGAAGGTGACGGACCCAGGGTTCAGATGTAGAAAGTCTGCTTTTCTCTGACAAGGTGACCCTGGTCCTTCCCACGCTCCCAGCCCGCCTTCCTCAATGCCCTGAGCATATTTCCTTCTCAGGGAAAGGGATTATGGAGCACTTGGTATTTTCTGAAGCAGGCATTAAGGGTTTAGGAACCTTATCTCGGCTGCTGCTCTGAATTCTAATCTGGGGCTCTCTCTGAGATTCAGGTCCTTTCTGTGCCTGCTGCAGAAGCCACCAAGGCAGTTTACAAATGCAGAGATGCAGCCCGGCCCACTGTTCCTTAAGCTGCTAGTCACTCAGCCCAGAGCCTTGAGGGGAAGGGCTGGGCAGGAGGAAGACAGATGGCTTCTGTCAGTCACTCCTGGGTGCTGGGCACTGTGCTGAGTACTCTCCAAGAGCACTCAGCAGCTCTTTCAAGCAAGCATTGCTATCACGCTTCATCAGTGAAGAAACGCAGGCTCAGAGAGGTCACAGAGCCACTGTGTGGAGAAGCAGGAGGAGTGGAGCCCAAGTGACCCCTGCGAGCCCAAGTCTGCACATCCCAGACTCAGTGCAGGTGGGGTGGCCGTGGTGAGGACATTTGCCTCTCACAGGCACAGCTGGCAAAGACTCCGAAGAGCCTTGTGCTCCTGGGCTTCCAGGCACTAGAGGTCTCCTGCAGAGGCTGGAATGGACTGGGGACGGGCCGTGTGCAGGGTCACAAGGCCATCTCCAGGACTCTGGGACTTGGAAGGGACAGAGATGGTAGCAGCAGACACTTTCTGCATGCATTTCCCCCATGCTTAACATGCTGCTCCACTGAGATCCCATTCTGTAAAAGAAGAATGAGGGAATATGACATTGTCTTTAACACATTCATGACGGGGCTGTAGTTATGCTTCGCTGCCAGGTGGCTCTGATGTAATTGAATGTTCCTTCAGGAGGCTTATACTGCTTCTCGGGGGGATTTTGACTATAATAATACAAATAAAGGCACTGATTTACCAGACCACATGTCATCATATGACAGTTCCTTAAGGAAAACATTAAAATGGTATAAAAAGTAATGCAAGCCAGGTGTGGTGGCCCATGCCTGTAATCCTAGGACTCAGGAGGCTGAGGCAGGAGGATTGGCATTGAGTCTGGGGCCAGTATGGGCTACATAGTGAGTTCGAAGCCAGCCTGAATTACAGCTTGTCTCAAAAAAAAAAAAAATGTGGCTAATTTTGGTAGAGGAGTTACAAATGAATATTATATACACTAGCAATGGGGTACTCATAAGATTTCCATGTTAAAATTTAGAGAATTAATTATTGATAAACTATTAACCTGTGAATAAGTGCCATGGGCACAAGTTACTCAGAAAAAATATTCACTTTATAAAAGCTTATTTAGGATTAGGCAGGAAATGCTTGCAAGCAGTGTAGAGAGTGTTACCAAAGATTATCTGAAGGAATGGGTACCTCTGTGGCCCCCCCAAAAAGTCAAATGCCTTGTGATATTTTGCACACTGCACAAACCAGCCACCTTTATATATAAAATGTTTTAAAGAAATCACAAATTAAATAAATTTCTTTTAATGAAAAAAAGTGTTATTGTGATAAATTTTAATCAGTATGAATTGTATTAATATTTATATTTAGCAGTAATTATTCAGATTCAAGCAACTAACTAGATTTGGTCCATTTATAGACTTTTTTGATAGTAAAAAGACTGATAAAAGTGGTTAGATCTATTTGTACCATGAGGGCTCAAGCCAGCGGGAGCATGTTTTAGAGTAGGTGTGTAGCATCCACAGAACTCACTCCCATTGTCCTGTGTCCTCGAGAGGTAAATGTCCACCCCAGTCCCTCAGCCAGGGAGGACAGAAGCAGAATTCTCTTTCCCATATTGCCCCGGCTCCCTGCTCTCAGCTCCCATCACTGGCAGGAAGGACGGGCTGGGAAGCAGGAGGGAAGGACCGGCTTGTGGGTGCACAGAGTGGAGTGAGCTGGTCTCCCCTGTGCTCTAAGCAGATGTTTCTCCCCTCCCCAGGTCTGGAAGAGGTCAGGGGCCTGGTTCTACAAGGGGATCCCCAAGTATATCTTGCCCCTGAAGACCCCCAGCAGGGCCGATGACCCCCGCTTCCAACCTTTTTCTGTGGAGCCAACTGAGCCGGAGCCCAGAATCACTGAGACCGGCCGTGTCTACACATGGGCTCGAGGGAGAGGTAAGACCGGATGACCCCGAGGATGGGCTGATCATGTGTGGGCATGGAGCCAGGGTCCCCACCCACTCTGGGGCTCCTGTCACGGTGCATCCCTCCGTGTGCCCTCGGCTCCCCGCCCACTCCTGAGTGAGAGGGCAGCTCTGGCTTGGTGGTCCCTCGCTGTATGCAGAGATGTGGGGAGAAGGTATCTGGGGGCAGTGTCCCAAAACAGCACTAATTTGGGGGCAGAACCACTGTTAGCAGCACTGTCATAGCTCTTTGAAGGACTAGATTGTCAATGGAGGGGTGTTGTGAGGTATGAAAACATGTCTTTCCCAGACAGGCCTCCACCACCTCTTCCCTGCACTTGTCTTGTGTCTCAGGAGGGGAGGGCTCCTGGCTCCCCTGGTCCTAAGGAGCTGGCTGGCTGTGTTTCCAGTGCCCAGAGTATTTGTAGTGGCTGCACAGAGGTGGTGTGTGCCTGGTGATGGTGCTCAGTGTTGCAGAGGGCCCTCCCTAGCTCTTAAAATGCATCCTTGTGTACGGTTTTCCAGAGCTTCTGGTCCCACAGCAGTCTCAAGAGGTAGACGAGGCAGGGATTTAACAGCCCTACTGTACAGATGAGGCCCAGAGAGCCTCACAAAGCTGGAGCTGGCGTGTGACACAGCTGGGGTCCACAGGCAGGCCCTTGCCCTCCTGGGTCTGGTTCCTTCTGCCCTGAAGTGTGCAGGACTCCGGGTCTGAGGGTCCCAAGTAAGACCAGAACCAGAGGGGTGAGGGGCTCAGCCTGATGATGGCCCATCTCGCAGAGGTGGCCCCGAGATAACAGGCCTGGCAACTGTCTCTAAGGAGCTTTCGGACAACTCTGGATGATGACCTGACATCTGACTATCTCTATATCATTCCAACTGTCCTTTCTTATTACAAGAGTAATGCATGCTTCTAACAAAAAATCTGGAGGTTGTCAAACAGTATCCTCTAGAGGGTAAAAACCAGAGTCAACGTTTCCAGACAAAACCCGCGTTGCTGTCTCTTCCCTGGGTATTTTTTCCTCTGCTTCACTTGGCCCTCATTGCAGCAGTCTTTCCCTCCTAATTCTCCCGCCTGCCCTGGGGAAGTGGCAGTCTTCATCCTGTCCCTTTTCCACCCTCGGAGCCTGGGCTTTCTCCTGCCCAGGCCCTGTCAGGGTGGACCCCTGTCCCTCAGACCGAGGGAGGAGAGGTGACCTCAGAAACATGAGTCGGTGGGCACCAGTGGGTTCCGAGTGTTGCTGGGATCAGCTGAGGAGAGGCCTGAGGGCTGTATGAACTGCCGTGATCAAAGTGCCCACTCCAGGGGGCCGTGTGTGCCCCATTTGCTCCACACCAGCGCACGTACACATGCTCATATGCAGACACAAACACACACACACACACGTACGCACACACAGGCCCTGGCCAGGAGCAGCGCCCCAGCCTCCTCCCCAGGCATGAAGACACAGATGGTCTTTTAATTACATGGCTGAGGAGGCCGGTGGCCCCACACACTTCCACACTGTTTATTAACTGAGCCCGCACCGTGGAGGCTCCCGCATGTGACCTTGTTCTCCATTCAAGGTGCTAGGTCATAGGACCCCCTGCCGTGCCTCCAAGCCCTGTGACCCCCAGGACACCTGATGTGCTCAGCCCACAAGCAGAGGGACTGGGAGGGCTGGCAGCCGAGCTGCTTGTGGCAGCTGAGAGGACATCTGTACCCACAGTGAGAGGGAGGCACTGGGATGTGGGGGTGCGGTTGGGGTGGCCAGGACTGAACTTGGGAGGAAGGAGAAGAGCAGGTGGGGGAGGTAGAGGAGGTGGAGCCTGGGGGAGACAGGAGGAGAGCAGAGAAGTGTCACCCCAAGGAAGCCACAGTTCCAGGTTGGCAAGGAGTGCTGCCGTTCAGAGCAGCTTCCAGGCCCGTTCTAGGGTTAGGGTTAGGGTTAGGGTTAGGCATCACTGGGCCTGTCCAGTCCTCTGCCAGTGGGGCACTCTGTGGGTAACTTCCCAGCCCTGAGAGTGGCTTCCCTTCCTCCAGCCCCAGTAGGCTTGGTGCTCCAGCTGTGATCCAGCCCAAGCCTGTCTATATAGCCCTTTCAGTGCCATATTCAGCCCAGACCGAGCTCAAGGGGACACCGTGACCAGGACTGTGGGGCAGCTCCCCACCACCTCGGAAGTGCCACGTGGTCCACATCTGGCCACATAGGCTGCTTCCTTAGCACACAGCATGGACGCAGCTTGTCAGATAAGTGAATGGATGAATGTGAGCCACCCTGCCTGCTCCAGGAGATGCAGGCGGAAGCCTGTGGAGGGGTTTCCACAGGGTCTGGCAGATCCTTGGAGACTGTTAAAACCACTTGCTCCAGCCCTCCGGGACCTCAGGGCCAGCATCCTCCTTCAGCCTCACGATCTCAGCTAATAGAGCTGATCCCTTCGCCAGCTCACCTGCCTGCTGTCTCAGACTTTCTCTTCCCTCTTCCTCACCTCCATGACTCCCTCTGCCCCTCCTCTCCTGTCTCTCAGCCCTTGGGCTCAGGCACCTGCGGCTCCCAACTCCTTCCAACATCCTGGCCCAACCCATTTTTTTCTCCTGCCCTGCTGGAAGAGGAAGGGTAATCAATAGATACAAGCCATGAACTTTTCCATTCTCAGAGCAATCAAGTGACTGGATTGATGTTTCTGAGGTGGGTTCTTTTTCTTCCTCCCTTCAATTTTCTTTGTTAAGTTTTAATTACACAAGAACACAAGTTAAGGGCCGGGGATTTAGCTCAGTGGTTTCGCCGCCTGCTGCGCAAGCTCAAGGATCCGAGTTCGATCCCCAGTACCAAAAAAAAAAAAAAAAGAACACAAGTTAAATAATTCAACAGTGTGTGAAAAATAGTAATCTCTTTACCCTACTGGCCATCATACCAAACCCTTTTCCCACTGTACCTATAAACATGCATTTAATCTAGGCATTTAAATTCCTGTTTTGCTTTTGTCTGGCAACAAAATAAATAGGCTCTTACGACCCTGTCACTTTTTTTTTTGTTATTGTTTTTAAAAGAATATCATGGGCAGCCCTCCAGGCCCCTAGTTAGAGATTTTCCTTCATTCATTTTTAAAGCTGAATAAAATTCCGTAGAATATTTCATAATTTTATTCACCTATTGATGGACATTCAGATTGTTTCTGACTTTTCACCACTGCAAGCAGTACTATAATGTATTTATACATATAATGCTAAAACTGGAGTTTTTCTCTCTGTGGAATAGGTTTCTAAAAGTGGAACTGTATGTTTTAAATTCCAATAGATATTGCCATACTCTATTACAAAAAAATGTTCTGGCCATTTACACTCACCCTAGTGAGACTTCTCATTTTTCTGCATCCTTGATAGACATGGATTTTATTGAAGTTTATAATTGTGGCCAAAATACAGGATAGAAAATAGTACTATATTGCATTGTTTTAACTTGCACATTTGAACTTGCATTCTTTTAACTTGCACAGTTTAACTTCTGGGCTAAAGCCCTGGGTTTAATCCCTAGCACCACAAAAAATAAAAATGTTTATTATTTATTAATTATTTAGAGTTCCTCTTTTAAAAGTTGTCTGTTCAAATCCATTGCTCGTTGCTTATTAAGTTGCTTGGTTTATCTTGATTTGTAGGTCCTCCCTATATGTTAGAGATATTAAATGGTATAAAATGGGTTACAAGAATTCTTCTCCTCTTTTAGCTTTATACTTGATTTGACCTTAATCTTTGTTATAGTATCTTTTGCTAGTGTGTGTGTGTGTGTGTGTGTGTGTATGTGTGTATGTAGTATGTCTTTTGCTTTGTAATTTCTAAGTTTCCTTTGCCTTGGAATATCTTTCTCATCCCAAGGTTTCAAAAAACAATCTGCTAAATAAAAGACTTAAGTAATATGAGAAAACTATTCATATATAATAAAATTATCACAAAAAAATACAAAATAAGCTGAGCATGGGGGCACACATCTGTAATCCCAGTACTCGAGAGGCTGAGACAGGAAGATCGCCAGGAGTTCAAGGCCAGCCTGGGCTACATAGTGAGTTCAAGGCCAGCCTAAACTACACAGTGAGACCTTGTCTCCAAAAAATAAATAAATAAATAACTGATAAAGCACTCAAGTCATGTTCAAAATACAAGTCAAGAATACCCCATCCTCACTATTATTCAGTAGTATTTTATAGTTTGCCCTTTTCTTTTTCTTGGTGCTGAGAATAGAACTCAGGACCTTGCACATAACAAAAAAGTGCTCTATCACTGAACTATACTTTTTTTTTATTACTTAAATTCTTTTATTGGTACATTTTAGGTATACAACACATTTACATTTGAACTATCCTTCTAATCACCATAGTTTTATTTCTGTTTTTGTTTTATTTTACGTTACTGGAAGTTGAACCCAGGGCCATATCCTCAACCTTTTTTATTTTAATTTTTTTTTGAGACAATGTCTCGCTAAGTTACCCAGGCTGGACTCAAACTTGCAATCTCCTATGGCCTCAGCCTCCCATATGCCGGCTTATAGTTTTTAATGTTATAATAGTGCAAGAAAGAAGACTCATCTGTTAATATTAGAAAAGAATAAAAGTAATTTTCTTATTTGCAGATGATGTAATTATATACTAAGAAAACTATACTAAAACAACGCATTAGGATTAATAAGAACATTTGGACTTTGACAAGATATAGGATGAACTTATAGAAAATAAATAGCTTTAATCTATACTTTCTAATTAGAAGTAGGAATGGGAAAACTCATTTGGAATTGTAAAAATAAAAATTATTAAATGCCTAGAAATGATTTTTTTAGACAAAGTCTTATTATGTTGGCCAGGCTGGTTTCAACCTCCTAAACTCAAGGGATGCTCTTGCCTCAGCCTCCTAAGTGCTGGGATTACAAGGCTGCACCACCACACCCAGCTTTAGGAACAATATATTTTTTTTTTTGGTACCAGGGATCGAACTCGGTTCCTTGCCCTCGCGCAGCAGGCAGC